AAAAAAAAAAAAAAAAAAGAAAAAAAGAATTACAGGAATGAGTGGTGCTGCCTTTGGTGCAACATTAATCAGATGATGTCAGGATTTTACTAAACATAATAATTAAATGACTCATGTCAGAATGCAGAAAATAAAGTATCGAAACACTGTCAAGTTATAAACATTAGTGCTAAACAAATCACCCTAATACATTTAGAAGATGTTCAAGGGTCCTGAGATACCTTAAGATAAATTCTAAATTACAGTATTAAGTACAATGGTAATGACGTCTGCAAGGAAAGAAAAGACAAGATTTAAAAAATTCCCTTGAATTTGAAACAACCCTATTTGTTAAATTACTAAAAAAGTGATATATAAATAATAATCAATGGGAAATTAAGCTGGAAAAGAGTAATGTTGAAGAAGAAATGCTTTATTTTGGTTATATCCTTGTCCTACTAATTATAAATATCACTTTCTTTCCTTCTAATTTTCTATTATCCTACGCTAGAAATATTTCAAGCTATTCCATAGTTTTAAAGAAGTTTCTTTTCGGGGTTACGAGGGAACAGAGACACTTGGTTGTCCCATTACATGTTTCAAATAAAGAATTACCCTTCCAATCTGTTTCACACATTGGTATTCCTTTTAAGTTTACTTTTAAAGGGACTCCACTGCATTACCTTAAAATAAAAAGCTTGCTCTTATTGACTGGGAAACATTCTGCTTTCTCACAGACATAATTCTATAATATAGCTGATCAGATACCAAAAGAAAATTTAGAACTTCTTTCAAGCTTTACTATTAGCCATTTTGGTATTTTATCCTTCACATCAGCAATGTTATCCTAATATGTCCACAAGTCATTATTCAATAACTTCATCTTTCTGGAGGACAAATGAAACAAAAAACAAGGAATATAAAATTGAGAAAGGGAGGCCACTGTTGTAATCTTTGAGTACCAAACTACTGCCTTTGATTAACACTGCTCTGAGCCTGCAGAGGATCATCATATGACAGTAAGTAGCTGTTAACTAATAATTTCTTCCAACCCACCTTCTTTGTCCTCCTGTTCCATGA